GACTCATGGTCCAGGCCTCCTTCCAAGCTTGACTGTTCCTCTACTCCAGCACATTCCAACCTCTCCTGCCATTTACAAAATCATAAAGCACGTGGCTAGAGGGGAAGGGCAGAACCTGGGCCTTGAGTAGGACCATGTGGGGCTGGCAGGCCTTGAGTGGCAGGTGACTTCAGGGGATGTCCTTGTTCCAGCGGGAAGCACCTCCACCCAGATGCTGTTCCTTTGATGTGTTTTGCAACACAGTGATGTTGGTGAAGCTATGGAATTTGGGAGCTTCTCCCTCTTAGCATGAGTGAGGATGCCCTGCCAGCCTTTCATTACAAGGAACTCCCCTAGGAGGGGGGACATTGTCATACAAACAAAAGAGAAAGCAGAATTTCTCCAGGGACCTTCTTGACTTCAGGGTCCCTGGGTGGTGCAAATGGCTGGTAATTGAAAGATTGGTAGTTGGAGTCCACTGAGAGGCACCTCGGAAGAAAGGCCTGGCAATTGATTTCTGAAAAATGAGCCAATGAAAACCCTAGGGATCACAGTGTTTCTCTGACACACAGAGTGGCGTTGCCATGACTCAGAGTTGACTTAAAGGCAACTTGTTTTCCCAGCTTTCTCCTCCTTAACTGGAGGAGGACCTTATGTCTCTCCTTCAACTTCAGGCTGGAGAGATTTAGATGAGGGCTTCTCATGGGGACACACAGCTACTGATGGCTAGGAGGCTACATGTGGTTTCCAAACCTCTCTGGGCATGGGGGTAAAGTATGACATTGTCCTGGCTCTGTCACCTTGAACAGCACACAAACCTCCATGTGCCTCTCATTTGATGTCATCTCACCTGTCCTAGGTATTGGGAACAAAATGCAACAGACAAGGCAAAACATTACTCTTAAATGTGTGTTAATGATGAAGAAATCTGGAAATGGCTAGTGGTGATTATTGTACAACATGGTGAATGTAGTTAATGTCAATGAATTTTACACAGAAAAACAGTTGCACTGGCAAACATCTGTTATATATATTTCACCACAAGAAAAATTTTCAAAAAATAAAATTAAAAATATACCTTTACTCTGAAGGATCTTAAACCCTAATAGATTATACAAGAAGTAATATACAGCTGCTTTACTTTTCAAAGAAGATTACTGTATGAATCAGAAAGTAATTGTCTTTTAGATCAATAAAGAATGAAGTCAACTTGGTCTGTTGTTGTGTTGTTAGGCGTTAGGTGCCTCAGAGTTGGCTCTGATTCACAGCGACCCTCTGTACAACAGTACCAAACACTGCTCGGTCCCGTGCCAGCATCACAATCCTTGCTATGCTTGAGCCTGTTGCTGCTGTCACTGTGTCAATTCATCTCATTGAGGGCATTTCCCTTTCATGCTGACCCTCCACTTTACCAAGCATGATATTCTTTTCCAGCAAGTGGTTCCTTCTGACAACATGACCAAAGTAGGTGAGACAAAGTCTGGCCATTGTCGCTTCCAAGGAGCATTCTGGCTGCACTTCTTCCAGGACAGATTTGTTAGTTTTTCTGGCAGTCCATGATACTCTCAGTATTCTTTGCCAACCCCACAACTCAAAAGCATCAACTCTTCTTTGGTCTTCCTTATTCATTTTCCAGCTTTCACATGCATATGAGGCAATTGAAAATACCATGGCTTGGATTAGGTATATCTTACTGTTCAAAGACACATCTTTGCTTTTCAGCACTTTAAAGAGGTCTTTTGCAGCAGATTTGCCCAGTGCAATGCATCATCTTATTTCTTGACTGCTGTTTACATTGGTATTGATTGTGGAACCAAATAATATGAAATCTTTGACAACTTCAATCTTTTCGCCATTTATCATGATGCTACCTTTTGGTCCAGTTGTAAGGGTTATTTTTTCTTGCAGACTGTAGTCTTTAATCTTCATCAGTAAATGCTTCAAGTCATCCTCACTTTCAGCAAGCAAAGTTGTGTCATCTGTGTATCACAGGTTGTTAATGAGTCTTCTTCCAATCCTGATGCCACGTTCTTCTTTATAAAGTCCAGCTTCTCAGATTATTTGCTCAGCATACAGATTGAATAACTGTGGTGAAAGGATACAACCCTGACACACACCCTTCCTGATTTTATACCATGCAGTATCCCCTTGTTCTGTTTGAACAACAGTCTCCTGGTTTATGTACAGGTTCCTCATGAGCACAATTAAGTATTCTGGAATTCCCATTCTTTTCAATGTTATCCATAATTTGTTATGATCTACACTACTGAATGCTTTGCATAGTCAATAAAACACAAGTAAACATCTTTCTAGCATTCTTTGTATTCAGCCAAGATCCACCTGACAACAGCTAATATATCCCTTCTTCCATGTCCTCTTCTGAATCCAGCTTATATTTCTAGAAGTTCTCTGTCAATATACTGCTGCAACCATTTTTGAATTATCTTCAGTAAGATTTTACCTATATTCGATATTAATGATATTTTGATAATTTCCACTTTCTGTGGGATCACCTTTCTTTGGAATGGGTACAAATATGGATTTCTTCCAGTTAATTAGATGGGTAGCTGTCTTCCAAATCTCTTGGCATAGATGAGTGAGTGCCTCCAGTGCAGCATCCATTTATTGAAACAATCCAATGGGTATTCCATCAATTCCCGGAGCCTTGTTCTTCACCAATTTCTTCAGTGCAGCTTTGACTTCTTCCTTCAGTACCATTGGTTCTTGACCATATGCCACCTCCTGAAATGGATGGACATCAACCAATTCTTTTTGGCACAGTGACTCTGAATATTATTCCATGTCCTTTTGATTATTCCTGCATCATTCAACCTTTTGTTCATAGATTCTTTCAATATTGCAACTCAAAGCTTGAATCTTTTCTTCAGTTCTTTCAGGTTGAAAAATGCTGAGTGTGTTCTTCCCTTTTTGTTTTCTAACTCTAGGTCTTTGCACACTTCATTATAATAATTGACTTTGTCTTCTTGAGCTGCTCTTTGAAATCTTCTGTTCAGCTCTTTTATCTTGTCATTCCTTCCATCTGCTTTAGCTACTCTCTGTTCAAGAGCAAGTTTCAGTCTCTTCTGACATCCATTTTGGTCTTTTCTTGGTCTAGGGCTAATGTTATTTTCTCTAATAGGGTAAGTACTAGATTTCTACCAATTCCTCTAACACTTTCCTAAGAAGTTCTTTTTTCTTTCTTTTTTTTTTTTTGCAATGCTACTCCTTGGAAGGAAGGTTGGGCAATCCTACTTCCGTAGTGATACTGCCTCGGAAACCCAAGGAGGGGTCGCTATGAGTCGGGGCTGACTCGACGGCACATAACAACAACAACAACATGCCTGAAAATGACCTTTGCTTAACTTAATGTTTTACTGCCTCCCTATCACCAACCAGTGTATCCAACAAAAATATAAAAATGAGACACATTAGTAGGAGGTCCACACATGAGCTGATGGTGGAGCAAAAATAACTGCACATACGCATCACTACTGTTTACAATGAGAACACTAACCTACTCTCACTGTGGAAAGCTGCCCTTTGAAGGGTAGAACTGATACAGAACCTGATATTAATCCTGAATCAACAGAGTTTGAATTTGATTTAACTCAGGCCACTTGCTCAGATATCAAATATATTAATGGGTGTGGAAGGCTAAAAAGTAACTTAAAAAACAAAACAAAAAAACCCCCCAAACTCACTGCCATTGAATTCATTACAACTCATAGTGACCCCCATTTGGTTTCCGAGGCTGTAAATCTTTATGGAAGTAAATTTCCTTATCTTCCTTCCTGTGTGCTTCCAGAGCTCTGGAGACTTTGAACTCAGTGGCCTTTATGCCTTACTAAAGAATTGAAACATTCTGGATCCCTGTACCCAGGACTCTACTCCTGAGAGAAGAATGGGCCCTGACCTGAGGTCAAGGTGTTGAATGGGCACAACCCTCACTTCCCTCACCTTTAGTGAATTCTCAGGTTCCCTCAAAGAGAAAACATTCCACTGCTCTTGAACATCCCAGGACAAAAAAAGGTCTATATTGTCTATATGGGGAGATGTAACAGCACAGTGCTTGAAGTACTCAGCTGCTAATGACATACTGTGCTACTCGCCCACATGGGCCATGGAGAAGCTCTTCGTTGGCTGGAATATAAAACACCAGTACTCGGTCTCCCTTCAATTTCAGCACATTGTAAGCAAAGTAACTGACAGGAAGCTGCACTGGCATGAAAAATGTTGCCAAATCATCACACCTTATTCAGGAAAAATAAAGGAACTCTGGTGGTATAGTGCTTAAGGCATTTGGCTGCTAACCATAGGTTGGTGGTTCAATACCATCAGCTGCTCTAGGGAAAAGATGAGGCAGTCTGCTTCTGTAAAGATTTGCAGTCTTGGAATCCAATGGGGGTCTCTATGAGTCAGAATCGACTTGATGGTAGTGAGGTTTTTTTTTTTTTTTTGTATTTCAGAAAAAAATCTCTGATAGAGAAAAAAGATGAAAAAGGAATGAAATGATTGAGCTTCAGGGACCTCTGGAATCCAGCAGTTATGGGGACAGATACAATAAACCCCATGGTCATTGAGTCGATTCTAACTCATAGCAACCCTAAAGGACAGAATAGAATTGCCCCATAGAGTCTCTAAGACTGCAAAACTTTATAGAAGCAGACTGCCACGAATCAGGTTTGAACTACCAAACTTTTGGTTAACAGCCAAATGCCTTAACTACTGCATCACCAGAGCTCCTTGACAAATCCAGTAATCCTTTTAAGAGGGAACAGAGCAGACTGAGAAAATAATCTACTCTCCTAACTTGGTCCATTCTATTTACCAAAATACAGTTGCTGTGTTATTTTGTCATGAATCCTCTCATTTAAAGCACAGACATACAAATGCTTAGGAAAACTGTTTTGAGCTGCTAAAACGTTTCCATATTAGGTTTATTGATGGTAAAAGAAAAACCACGGCGTAAGAAAGGGATTCTTAAAATATTAAGCAAAATAAATAAATAAGTAATAACTTACCACCCAGATGATATTGGATGTGTTAATTCTACTGATCTCTATCTGAAAAATCATTTGTTGTTCTGGATGATTAAGAAAGTTGTGGACACTCCATTGTAGATTCAAACGTTGGCGTGGAGAATTGATGGACACCTTAAGTGATTCAGGAGTCAGTGGCACAGGTTCAGACAGTACTGAAAGACCAAAACAAGGTACAGAAAAACATTTCATGAGAGTATGACTGAATAGCCACAGATTATTAAACTGTTCAATACTATCACTGTTTAGCTTTGGAAAACATAGTGCATATATGCATCTTAAACTGAGCTACCTTTAAAAGGATATTTAGAAATCAATTTACAGATGAAGAAATTAAGACCTAGATGACAGAAACAATTTGGTCAGTAACACACACCAAGTTAATAAACTGATGCAGTTAAAGAGATCCAATATTGGACAGTGTTATGAAACTTGTAAGAAGGCTGACTAAAGAAAGAGGACTTTTGTCATAAGTTTCCCATTTCTATAAAACAAAAAATAAGATTTTAGTGAATAGTATCTGATCACACATATGAAAGGACAAGAAAGGGCAAGTTTATTAGTGGTCAGCAGGGGAGGGATGGGAGGGAAAGGAGGGGTTTATGTTGATGAAAAATCACATTGATACAGGTAGGGTTGCACAGCTTATTATTGTAAGTGCTGCCGGTAAGCTGTACACCTGTGAAAAGCTGAACTGGCAAAATTCTGTGATAGATGAATTTATAAGAAACAAAGGGAGAGAAGCTACGGACGCTGCTTATGGAATTTTGTTCCTTGGTTTGGAGGTTCAGATTCATGATTTCATGAGACATTCCAGTTAACTGGGCTAATGACATGTTCAGTGCTTCTGTTCTACCTCCCAGTTCACTACATAGTACCTGAGGTCTTTAAGAGTTTGCAAGCAGCCATCCAAGGCACACCGGGAGCAACAGAGGAAGGAGACTCAGGAATAGGAGGAGGAAATGGAATGTGTGCTTAATTGCCTCCATGAACAACTAACAGCCTCCTTTGCTGTGAGACCAGAACTGGATGGTGCCCGACTACCATTACCAAACATTTTGATCAAAGATTCTATAGAAGAATCCTGATCAAAAGCAGGGATTAGGGCAGGGAATGTAGACTATACCTACATGCAAAAAACTACAAAACAGTGATGAAAGAAACAAAGATCTAAACAAATGGAGAAACTATTCAATGGCTGTCTTCCCAAGAAGTTTCCTATTCCATGTGATGTTTTGTAAATGCAGGAGGGCTATGGCGCTAATTAAAATGTCAGTGTGGAATTCATGACCTTGGATTTGGCAAAGATTCTGAAAGCAGGGTGCATGCAAAATCATTCCATCCTTCCCTGATTCTTGTTTCATTTTGCCTTATATGGTAACTTGTTGCTGTCTACCTCACACTCTAGATTGAAATTTTCTGGAAGACAGGGGTTGAGCCTTATGAATCTTTAAACGTAGCACAGCCTCTTATCCATAGCAGATGCCGATTTCAAATTACAGAGATGCAGGAGCTCCAGGAGGTCTAGGTGCACGACAAGGAGCTCCTCTTCGGACACCCAGACCTGTTCTTCCTGGAGTCCTCTCCTCCACCGGCTGCTCTTCTAACCCCTTCTCTGCAGTACCTATAATGCTGGACTGGAATAGTCTGTTTCTGTGTTTGGCCGCCCTGAGGCTGTGAGCTAAAAGGCAGTGTCATGCAGGTCAGTGAAATCTAAGACCAATAGCACACCTGTCAGTGTGTGGACACTCAGTAATTGGTTGCTGAGTGAATGAATAAATTCCCAGTATAAACGTGATTCCTGGAAGTTCTAGAAAGCTACCAGAGGATGCTTTGGAAAAAAGGGAAACACCTTTATACTAATATATTATATTACATTCGAGCGAGAGTTAAGTGGCTAGGAAAATGGGGATTCTGTTTCTATATTTTTGAGGATTTTTATCACTGGCATGTATTTCTCTTTTTTTTTTTTTTTTCTTTTTTACTGAGGTGAAAGCCACATAACATATTAACATAATATATGTTTATATTGGAGCTCTGGTGGCATAGAACCTAAGGCATTTGACTACTAACCAGAAGGCTGGTGGTTCAAACCCACCAGCCACTCCTCAGACAGAAGATTTAGCAATCTACTTCTGTAGTGATACCACCTCAGAAACCCAAGGAGAGGTCGCTATGTGTAGGCTCCAACTTGATGGCAGTGAGTTTTTTTTTTTAATTTTTATGTTTATATTAACATGCTATCAGCTGTACTGAGTGCTGAGTGACTCAGGTATACAAGTCAGTCAGAAATAATTTTGTCAAAAGCAATTGAGGTCTTCCTTGGGAGACAGGAGGAAATAACATGGCAATGTCAGAGAGACAAAGAGACTTTACACATTAATAATCCAATCCCATTATTTTTCAGATAAAGAAATTGAGATTTTTTTTTTTAAAAAAAGGGAAGTAATTTACCCAAGGCCACACAACCACAACCCTGGCTCCTAGGCTCTTGGCCCAAGTCTCTTTTCCCGGTGCTAGAGTGGGGTGTGGCCATTAAGGCCAGGCCTGGGAATCAGATAGACCTCCATCTCATTCTTAGATCTTTCTCTCCCTTTTCGTACCTGACTGGCCCCAACACACTTAAGCAAATAAACCGTGGTCCATTCATCGTCACTGCTCATCTGCCAGTTTGTTGTACTGTGGTTATCTTGCATGTTGCTATGATGTTGGAAGCTATGGTACTGGTATTTTGAATAGCAATAGGGTCACCCATGGTTGTCTGGTTTCAGTGGAGCTTCCAGACTAAAAGAGACTAGGAAGATATTAGCCAATGGAAACCCCATGGATCACAGAATATTGAATTAAGTGGCAAGTAGAAGTTGTCCGTAAGTCAGATATTTGTAACCCGGGGACGGCCTGCACAGCAAAGAGCTACACTCAAGAGCTCTGACAGATAGAGACACGAGCCCATGGTTAACTCGAAATGACCTTGGCTGTGTCTGCTTGGTTGGGAGAAGCCAGGCCCAGCTATTTGAAATGGGTCCTCAGATCTGAGCCTGGCTGGTTGGTTGACTAGGAGGCCAACTAGTTTGAGGGAAGGCTTAGTAAATACTTGATTAGATGCACTAGAAACAGACAAGAAATTCAAGCTGTACATGTGGGGACAGGGACAGCTTATGTACTAATTAACACAGGCATCCTTGACCAAGAAAGTTGGAAACAGAAAGGAAAATTGGTAGAGAGGAAAGTAGGTACAGGTAGTCTCAACTTACAACATACCCAGGATACAACTAACCACACTTAACAACTGTCCTTTTTTTTTTTTTTTTTTTTCCACATCTTATCATTAATAAAGGAAGCTCTGGTGGCGTTGTGCCTAAGGCATTTGACTGCTAACCAGAAGACTGGCAGTTCAAACCCACCAGCCACTCCTTGGAAGGAAGGTCGGGCAATCTACTTCCGTAGAGATACTGCCTCGGAAACCCAAGGAGGCATCACTATGAGTTGAATCAACTTGACAGCAGTGAGTTTGGTTTTGGTATCATTAATATGTATTACATAGAATATTGAACCATGTAATTGCTGATGTTATCATTCTCAGGTGTTCACTTATAGATGTTCAATTTTACAATTTACTGATCAAAACACTGTCATATAGATTTAGTTTAGTTTTCTAAACTAAATCAGAGGCTTCAGTTGCTTAAAAACATGAACCGAAACAGTGATCGCTTTGCTAAAGTCAGCAGGCAGATTCAGGAAGCAGTGAGCTGTTACCACAAAATATATGAAGAAAAAAAGAAAAGGGCCACCCAGGCCATTCTCACTAATTGTCTGGCTAGAAATGCCATCCTTTTCCTAGGGTTAATTCAGATGATTTAGAACCTTCCACAAGGGGAGTTATTAACGCAAATGATAAAATGCCAACAAAATCTCCTTCCTTCTCTTTCCAAATCTCTTTTCATGGTGTTTTCAGGGAAGGTGAGAAATTCTTCAGGTATTCCTTGTAAACATCATTTTCACAAATTCATGGACAGGAATGGTGTGGCTGGTTGTTAACAATACACATCTGTACTCTCTGCTATAATTACAACAAAGAAGAAATATGGAAAGAGGAAAATGTAAAATTTTGTAAAGTAGGAGAAAGCAATGAAGACTTTATGAACTGATCAAAATTCTCTCAAGTTTAAGAATTCACTTTCAAATTGGTTCAAAGTAATAATGAAATTATACATAAACATTTTAGAGTTTATATGCCCCAGTGAAGATATTTTGAGGTGATTTCTCTCAAAATATCTTCATGGGGAGTAGCTAAGTGAGAAATTCTATCTCTTTATCCATAAATACCATTTCAGCACTTCACACATTATCTTGCAGCTAACAGCTCCTAAATAAAAACAGCTGAGCAACGTTAAATTGGTCCTAACATAGAGGTCAATACTGGTCTGACAGGTCCTTTATCTAGCATGTGCAGAAGAAACTACTCTGGTGATAGCCAGGTAAAATGCATGGATCATCAAGTTTCATGGGATTAAGTCTATCACAAGTGCCCTAAGTGACAAGGAAATCAGGGTTAAGGTGTGACTTATTCAAATGAGTCATCAAGGTCAAGGAGGTCAAGACTAAAGCCACCACAGCTTTGAGAGACAGAATTAATACAAGCTACTCATTAGCTTCATGTAATTTCCATAGAAAGAAAAATTTATTTTTTTTCTTAAAAGCATCAGTTTCCTCATTTCTTTTCTATACATGATTTCTTCTTTACTATCCCTTCAATTTCTTACCTTCTTTCTGGAAAGTTCTCGAAGGTAGCAATACCAAGAGGAATGTTGTCTGAAGGACTACAAAGAGAGCCATAAGTTCCGGTTTTCTGAAAAAGATAGGTTACAAAGAAGAGAAATTTTATTTCTTTTCAATTCTGAGCAAGTTTTTTTGAGCCAGTTGTGGTAGATACCTGCATTAAAAGTCAGTAGCTGGCAAGCTGATTCCGACTCATGGAGATCCCATGTGTTGCAGAGTAGAACTGCACTCACAGGGCTGGCAATGGCTATGCCCTTTCAAAAACAAATTGCCAGACCTTTCTTCTGAGATGCCTCTGGGTGTGACTGAACTGCCAACCTTTTGATTAGTAGCTGAGCACTCAACCATTTGTGGCACCTAGGGACTTCCAGAATCTTGCATTAAAGGCCTCCATTTCTTCCCTCTTTGTGTCCAGACCCCTTGCCAAGGGACTTTGGACTCCTTCCCACAATAAATCTGATGCCATCAAGCAGATTCTGACTGCACCACCAGCGACTCAATAGGATAGAATAGAACACCCCCATAGGGTTTCCAAGGCTGTAAGGTTTATAAAGGGAGATCGTCACATCTTTTTCCCACAGAGTGGCTGGTGTGTTCAAACAGCCAGCCTTTTAGTTAGCAGCTGAGTGCTTAACCACTGCACCACCAGGGCTCTTCCCACAATAGAAAGAGTGTATTTCCCCACAATGGCCCATAAATGAGGCAAAAATGACAATGTGTCAGTTTGGAGCCTAGCCTCAAGAGGCCTTGCACATTTCTTGTGGCTCCTTTGTGCTTCAACCTTTGCCATACAAAAGACAGTCTTGGTCGGAGGGGGATCTGTATAGGAGATCCTGGATAGAGTGGGAGAACAACGTGGAACAAAACTCAAAATCACACACACACACACACACACACACACAAAAGGGGCCAGGTTTGCTGGTCCAACAGAGCCTGCTGGAACCCCTGAGACTATGGTACGGCTCCTAGCTGCCCTTCAAGTCTGGAATTGAACACACTCCTCTGGCTTCCAGCCAAACAAAAGATAGGCATATGAGCTGAATATTTACATTAGGTAGATTACTCCTTGAAGAGATCAATTATGGGAAAATAAAAGGGCTGTGTATGCACAGGGAGACAGCTCAGGAGGCAGGAGTGCATGAGAGGGAAGGACACAGGGAAGAGGTGGCTATGGGGAGGAAGTGGGAGGAGAGCTGTTGCATTGTGGGAGATTGCCATCAGTGTCATGAGACAAAGTGTATGTGGACTGCTGCATGGAAGATGAATTTGCTCTGTAAACTTTCACCCAAATCACAATAAAATAATAATAATAATAATAAAGACAGCCTTGGTCTACTCAACTAGAACCAGGAGGTGAAGGAGAGGTGCATGAGGGAGAGCTGAGTTAACTCAGGTGCTCCTGCTGAGGCCAGCCCATATCAGCCAGCAGGCAGTCAACCCTCTGTCAAGATCAGGTCACCCCACATGCAAAATCAGTAAACTCTTATATGCTGTATGCCACTGAATTTTATGGCAACAGATAACTGATACACCACTTGACTCAGATTGAGCAAATGGTGGTGAAGAAAAGTAAACAGAGTAGCAAATTAAATATGTATTATATACATACCACCATTAGAAAGAGAACAAATTCCATTTTCTCAAAAAGCTGAAGTTCAACAAATTATAAAGAGGGTATGTTTTGGTTCTCCAGTGCCACTATAACAGACACCGCAAATGGGTGGTTTTAACAAACAGGGATTTGTTCTCTTATTATTTTGGAGGCTGAAGTCCAAGTTCAAAGTGCCAGGCTCTAGGGGCTGAGTGAAGATCCCTCGAACTTGGGCTTCAGTTCTGCATCTTGCTCCCAGCCCACTGGAGCTGGAGGCTTCTCTTAACTCAGGCAGCTGCTGGCTGCTGAGGCTGACAAACCCAACATCAAGAAGTAAAATGGCACAGTACAAAGATTATCAAGCAACATGGCAGGCTACTAGTTGAAATCTAGAAACAGTCCAAAAATCATAAACATGGCAGGCCACTCACTGATGACTCAGTCAAAAGCAGGATCCAGATATGCCAAGAAGCTAGAGACCTTTCTCAAAGCTGCTTCTTATATACTGGAAGCAGATCACATCTCTAAGGCAGCTCCTCACAGTAGATTCCACCATGGAGCTGATAATCAGTCTCATCATGGGGAGTAATAACATTCAGCTGTTCAGCCACTTTCAAAACCAGGCCCAGTCAAGATGACACATAGCCTTAACTACCACAGGGGAGCTCTACATTTCCCAATCTATTCAATAAAATTTGACCTAGGAAAAGTCAGCATATTCTTCCTAAGGAGATGGTCTGTTTGTCATTGTTCAAAACAATTTCCGGTTTTCCTTGCCTTAGAAGAGAGCTGTAAACTGCAAGCCAAAGGGCTTCACTGATTCATCGGGTATCTGACCACCAGACAATCTAAGGGCACACAGAATGAGTTCGGATGACCTCAAGAAGGCTAATATATTCTTAATTGAATTTTAAGTGTGTTAGTCAGGGGAAGTGTTGAATTTCACTTTTCTACTTCAAACTCTGAGTCAGCACAGAGGGGAACAATGAAAGCATTAATTCAGTGGGTCAATTTGTGCCTCTGTTTAGCCACATGACTTCATCAAAAGCCAGAAATTCAGTGAACCAGGTCATCAATTTTTAATACCCACACCCTCTATTTTTTAAAAATAGCATTTTACAGGTAAATTGGGAATAAGAATGAAGATAGCAAGGAGCCAAGCTATACCCCCAAAACACTCTCAAGTAACCAAATCTCCCTACTGCTGAACCCAACTGCAAGCAGACGCAACATTCTCCCAACAGTTCATATCCAGTGAAGCCCTGCTGCCTGCTATAGTTTTGGTGGCAGAGTCATTCACACTTCTCCAAAATCTCTACCTATAACTTCACATATGTTCCTGGTATAATTAAGTATCAAAGCCAGAGGATAAACCAATTCAAACGTGCTAAAAAAGCAAGGAGGCCACATCTTCTGACCTCCTCTAACCACACAAGAGGAAAACAGAATCACTATCAGTAGCCCAAGGCCCATTACTGTGAGGCCAGACATGCTACTTCCCTCCAGCCCTTTCACCAACCCTGACATCAACCATTCCTCCAGTAACACTCACCACCTTTCTGCTGGGTTTGATAATTCACTGCAGTGGCCACACAGAACTCACAGATTATGGGGTTTATTAGGGAAGCACCAGGCTACAATTCAAGTTCAGGAAAAATGCTCAGTCTCTCTCCCAGCCCACCGTCTCTCTGCCAACAGTCTCTCACAGTCTCTCTCCCAGCAATGCGTGTCCCTCGGTGTCTCACTCAGCAATGCATGTTTCTTACGTCTCTTTCCCAGCAGTGCATGTCTCTCAGGAGCGCATACTTCCTTAGCCAGCAGTCAGAGAGACTTCTTCCTTCAAGAGGCCTCCTTTTGAGCCCAGCAGAGTGGCCAAACCAACCAATCATAACATCAGAATTCTAAGCACCTGAGAGAGAGAGAGAGCGCTGAAACCTGCCAGAACATTGTTTGTGCCACTCCCAACAGAAATACCCCAGGTGGACAACTTTAGCAATCAGGAGCTCCTCAGTTGCTCACGGCAAATTCCACCTCAGAGTTTACAAAGACTTATGGGTAGAAAAGCCACACTAAGTAATTTACTACACCACAAAGTGAAAATACTCTCTGCTCAGAACCAAGGGGAAGGAAAAGGAAAATGCCAAACATCAAATGTCTGACACTCACTGCATAATTTTAAATACCCATTTACTCTTCTTCTCTGGGTACTAGTCCATCCTCCTTAGGTGTCTATCAATGCACAATGCGTCTGCTGTAAGGAGACTCCACAGATTTAAAAGCAGAACAGTGAGAGGATGAGGTGTGCATTGCCAACTGTTCTCTTTATGAGATGGCTGTTTAAAATGTCTCTATACATTTAGGATTCTTCTAGGAAATCAAATGTTTTACTTGTCACAAAACATTGGGCAAATCTGCTGCAAAAAAACTCTTTAAAGTGCTGAAGAGCAAAGATGTCTCTTTGAAGATTCAGGTTCATCTAATCTAAACCATGGTATTTTCAACAGCCTCATATTCATCTGAGAGCTGAACAATGCATAAGAAAGACCTAAGAATCTCCTACTGTCAGAGCAAAAAAAAAAATGCAAAAAACCAAGGGCATTTAGAAACAATCAGCCCTAGGACATGATGGCCCTTGAGACCAGAAGAACTAGATGGTGCCTGGCTACCAATGCCAACCACTCAGGAAAGTATCAAAACTGGAGATCCTGGATAGAGTGGGAGGAAACATGGAACAAAATCCAAAAATACAATAATGACCAGAATCACTGGTCAGATTGAGTCTGGTGGGACCCCCAACACTATGGCCCTGGGATACACTTCGAGCCTGGAATAAAACTCCCTCCCAGGGGCTGGTTCTCAGCTCAATAGTAAATAAGGCATACATGCAGACCACACAACCCAGGGTGACGCACCCACATACTCTATGGAGATGCATCCGTTGGAGCAATTGACCACAGGGCACCAGAAGGGTAACAGTCTCACAGAGGAAATGCAGGACACACAGGAGGGCATAACTATGAGGGGCACGGGGTGGGGAGGGTTACTGGGAAGGGAGGGGAAGAGAGTGGGTTAGGGTTGGGGATGATAACTGGGGAGTGAAACCAAATATACACAAAATGTTGAATGTAAAACAAACTCTGTTCTATAAACTTGCACCTAAAGCACAATAAAACAAAAATTAAAAAAAAAAAAAAGAAAGAAAGAAAGAGCTAAGAAGAGTTGATGCTTTTGAGTTGTGGTGTTGGTGAAGAATACTGAAAGTACTGTGGTCTGCCAGAAGAACTAACAAGTCTGTCCTGGATGAAGTACAGCCGGAATACTCCTTGGAAGCCAGAATGGCCAGACTTCGTCTCACCTACTTTGGTCAGAAGGGACCATTCCCTGGAGAAGGATAGCATGCTTGGTAAAGTGGAGGGTCAATGAAAAAGGGGAAGGCCCTCAATGAGATGGATTGACACAGCGGCTG